GTCCACGCACGGGAGGAGAAGGATGCGAAGAAGGAATGAACAACTTCGTAAACGGATGGCTCTGCTCTTAAATACCCCGTTCACTCTAATACCTATTTCTTGCCTTTTTCCTCCTACTTCTCGTAACAGAATTATGGATCCAAGCTTATTGAGAGAGCGAGAGCTATTCAAAAAGCGTGCCCTCTCCACCCCAGCAGTAGAAAAACGTCCAGCGCCATCTTCTGACTCCTCCTCTTCAAAAAAGAAGAAAGCAAAGGTAGAGCAAGGCGCTTCCTCGAGCTCAAAACAAAACGCAGGTTGGTGGAAGTCTCCTGTTTGACAGCTGTTGGCTATTTCCCCCTGTCTGTCTCTCAGCTGTGGTTTGATAGTATGAGTCAGTCTATCTGTGAACTTTGTTGGTGGCTGCTGTCATTCTTTCTCTTAAATTGTTGCTTTTTGCTAAGAAATTCACTCGTGCAACGGGAAGAAACACGCTTGCTACCGCATATAGGCATCCAGCCTCATCCTGTAACCTGTTTGCTGTGGCTCGGGTGGAGGAATCGCTGCTGCCAAAACGTTATTTTATATGAAGCTGAGCTTTATTTTATGGGGTTTGGCGCTTGCCGGACCTATAGGACAAGCCGTCACCGTGGTCTCGTTCTTTTTCTGGCAAGAAAGCGTCTAAAACTTAATTGTATTAAACTTTAAGTCGTTGGCTATCCATCTGTGAGATGGATTTTGCTACTGATGTCTTGTCTGGTTAGTGTGTTGTGATTTGTTTTACCTTGGAGCTAATCTTTGTTCGTGCACACCAGGGCTTCTGTCTGTCTTGGTCAGGAGTTTCGCCATTTCCCTGATATCTCTCGATATGAAATAAGCAGTTAACAAAGCAGCACCAAAACAGCGTGAGCAAATGAAAAGTGCGGCACCTGGGGCAGCACGGAGAGGATTTGTGCGCACGCCGCGCGCTGCGTTCGCTTTCGCTGTGCGAGACGCGTAACTTGGGAGCCCTTTTCAGTTCTCCGAAAGCCCTTACCGCTCTCCCATGCACTCTAAAGGTCAAATCAAATGTCAGGAGTTACTAAAACACAAAATATCCTGTTATGCAACTCGTTGCGTGCTCACGTTTTGAAGACCATGCGTGGCTTTCTTCTAAACTCCAAAGGAAATAATAGAGCTAAAAACAACAGAGGAAAACATCAAGGAGGAGGGGAGGAGTGGAGCATCTTCTGTCTGAGAGGAAGAGTAGGGAGTTTGGCATCTCCAGCTTCTCAGGGTGCCAAAAAAAGTTTTTGGCCAGACATTTTAAAATAAATCGAGGGAGGCCAGGTTTCCATCGGTCCCTTGGCCTACATAAAGGCAAAAATCTCTCTAAATAAAATTCTACGTGGAATATCCTAAACTGCAAATGCTGAGGCAGAGCGGTTTGCTGGGAAAGAGGGATGGGGAGGCGGGACGAGGGCGGGGGATTCAAACGTGAGTCTGATCTGGAGTATTCGAGTAGATACGTGGCCAAGCGGCACAGCAGATAAAGAAAGTGTAATTTCTTTTCTGTGCTTTTCTGGACTCGGTATTTAAGTGCTTTTGCAGCTGTCAAACGATTAACTTACGCAACTAGGAATGCGTGGCTGTGAGGAAAGAAGCTTTATCTTTTTTGCTGCTGGCTTCGTTCCAGACGGTATCGGAAAGGTTTCAGGGTTCCTATAACATTTCATGCAGAACGAGTTTGGCCTCCTTTCGTTTCCTCCTGGAGAGCGTTTACTAACTACTGCAGAAGCAGCAAGGATGGAAGGAAAATAATGGAGACCGAGCGGACCAACTGTCTCCCTCTCGTTCTTAGGAACTGGCTCAGAACAAACGTTCGGGCTGGCAAGCGACTGAACGGGTTAAGCGGCCACCAGCAGCACACGTTGCCCTGTGATGCTGCAGAGCGAGAGTCCTTTGCCTCAAAATCTCCTTTTTATTTGAATCGCCAGATTGTTAGGTGCCTGTCAGGATATGGTGGGTCTCGGGGAGATGGATTACAACCCGATGTTGAAGAATCCCTGTCCCACCCCCTCTAAGAAATGAAAATTAAGATGATCGGTCCTAGTTTTGTTGTGTAGTGACCCTAAAGTACGTTAAGGACAATAAGTGAAGTCGCAGTGATTGCGTGTTGGCATTGGGTGTGTAGTGCCTGCGGGTTCTCCCTCCTTCTGCGCTTCCGTGACTCAGAGAACCTGCCCTCGTCGCTTTTTTTGCGGAGGAGAGGCATTGAGATCGTGCTAATCTTCAAACGACTGCGTAGCTAAATCTGGCCTGCGCGCGAAGATTTGTTGTAAGCTTTCCGGTGAGAATAGTTATTGCTATAGTTATTTGAAATTACTGTGCAAACAAGTTATTTGAACAAATTCAAAACTGCCTTGTTTACTCATTTAGAACAGTAACTGGAAAATAAATGAAATAGATTGTATCTGTTTATTTCTTTTTATTAACGAATAGTAAGTTGTGGCTGAGGTCTTAGTCTTTATCTTAAGACCTTTGTCCTGATGGTCTTAGCCACCAGTAATCGAGAGCTGAAATCTCCAGGAGCTGTTTTCACGACTTAGTCTACACGTGGGAAAGAATCGTCCTGAGGCTCTAGGGCTGCGCGAGGGGAGATCTTTGTCTTCCGTTCCTTCTGCAGACACCCAGCCCCACTTACAGATCTGTGAAATAAGTCGCTGGAACGAGTCCCGAGATTTTTTCGTTGCGTGTGCTTCTCAGGAAGGCATAAGAACACGAAGCCAGCGTAGCAGAGGCTAGCCGCGTTACTCCCTGCGCGCTGCCTTCTTGTGTGCAGCGGCGGTGAGCGTTTTGTAGGAACGCTGCAAGTGGAAAGCTGTCCTATTGCCGTTCGGAGTGTTTGCTTTCAGGAAGGAGGCATGTTAATTAATTCGGTGTGTCCCGATGGCTAGTCTTGCCTCTCTTGAGCAGGACACCGGTCTTTCAGGGCTGACGCTGTCAAATACAGCAGACGGTAACGAGACATCTACCCGGCGTCCCTGACTGTGGAAGGCATTATCGTCGCTAACGTTATCTTTGTCGCGTGTCTTGGTGTGAATCCTAAGTTGTCTTGTACCTGGGGCGTCAGCTTCCAATAATTGTGCTTATAGTTTGATTTTTGTAGCTAAAAGGATTCTCTGCACCTGGGTCTGGTACTGCTGAAACTTCACCGTAACGAGCGCGTCCGAGATGAATGGTTGCAGCGGTAGTTGTGTCGTTTTGTGACTGCAGAAGGGAAATTGCTTCTCCAGGTGAATCGCTGGACTGGCTGTGCTGGTTAGTAGTGGCCTGGGTATCTTGGACTCCGTCTCACCAGCCAGGAGGAGCACGAGTCAAATTAGCAAGTCTTTCATTGTGTCCAGATCTTCTGGAGCTTAGGCTTACTGAATCTGATGGAGGGAGTTTATATATTTTTTAAAAAAAAAAAAAAAAAGTAATTCTAGATACTGATCATAGCACAAAGGTATCGCTGACACAGATACACTGCGAGATCACTGCGGTAACTTGTCCGTTTGGCCCGCTAGGTGGGTTTTGTTTCCCTAATGACAGGAATATTAATTTGGGGTTTGTATAGTTAAATATCGTGTCCCACATGTAGCTTCGGTCTGGGATGTTTCTTGCTGGCCTGCTTCTCTATGGGTTCGGGGGCGTGAAAGACTTACCGGCCGCTACTGATGGCCACGCTGTTGGACAGCGTTATTACAGTTGTAATTTGTAACTGTAAAACTGCTATTGTTTTAAAAACTACAGACGCAACACAGCTCCGGAAGAAAAATAATCTGGTGAGCTAGAGGTCTGAGTGTTAACGCGGTCCGTTTGCGAGAAAGGTGTGAGCTCTCTGGGGTGGATCGGCAGGCGGATGACGCAAGCTGACGTTCTCTTGTGCAAAATGAAGTCACTTCTCGCTGTGCGTCCACCCTGCCGTCTCTAGCGCGAGGCTTCTCCTGGCGTGGCCTCCTTCTCCTTTGCGAAGCACGTCGACGCCTGAAAGCTGCGTGCACGCTGGGCAAAATGACTGTCATAGGCCTGGGAGTTCTGCGACCCGTCTGCTTGCGTTCCTTGGCAAGAACTCGGTCAGTTCCAGTTCGGCTTTGAAAAGTTAAGATAGGGATGGTCTATCCAGTGTGTCTGGTTCCCTGTAGTGTTGTGGATATCATAGAGGCAACAGCCTCGGAGTGGGAAAATGTCCCTGTTTCTTCTAGACCGTAGTACCGCTATGGTATGCTTTTGTGGAAATAGATACTCTTAAGGTAGTGCTTTAGTCACCTGTCGACACCCCGACGTTGTTAAATAGGTTGAGTATGAAGTAAGGGGAGAGCAGTTCTCTGGAACTGGAGAAGAGGAGGGAGAAAGGGTCAAATTGTACCACAGGAGGTTAGAAAAGACCGTTTTAGGGATACATCTCGTGTTGGCTTACTTTTCCTCCCACCGCCCTCTCTTCTAAAAGGCGAGAACCCGTAATAAGAAGAGGTGCAGAAGGCAAGAATTCGCACAAGCCTCTCCTGTCTGGTGGGATCTCTCGCCATTCCGCCCTCCTCCCTCGTATCTTTTTTCTCACCCCTCGTATGTCTTTCCTGCCTCTGTGTGGTTGACCTCAGTGAGAGGACACTGCTGCGTCTTTGAGCTATGTACGATCAGCTTGTTGAGCATTTTTATGAAGGTTTTCTCCGGTTAAGCAACGCGGTTTTATGCACGCTAGGCAACGGTTGTTCGTTCAGGTAGACAAAGATCTATGCTAGTCACTCAATATAAACAACAAAAGTTCATTTAAACCCAAAAATCTTTTCTTCGCCCGTAACATTGCAACAGATCATCCTTCTGCTAAGCACTCGGAAAGCCTTTCCCAATTATTCAAGTTCACATCCAGAGATAAAATGATAACTGCGATTATCTTTAAGTCCAAAAGAAAACAAAGTATGTGACTTGCTCGTTCGTAAGGTACAAGAGGCTTCGTTCAAGGCGTTAAAGGTTCTTCCGGTGCCGATGCTCAGTCCTTCCTACACCACCTCCGTTTCGCGCTTTCTGAAGCTGTTCATCATTGCTCTGACAGGATTGGGTTCGTTCTCCAAGTCTTTCACAGTTTTGTTTTTCACACAGCAGCAGCAGTCTAGCAGTTCATAGAGGAAAGCCAACACCACCAGCGAAACTACAGTAAAGATGAATATGATCAGAATAATAAAGCAGGCGGTGTTCCAGTTATCATGGAACGGGTAAATTTTCTGCACTTGAAAGCCCAGATAGTGGGAAATGGATGTAGTCTCGTTCCAGTGAGTGGTGTTGAGGCTTGCCATTCTTGAAGAGTTGTCTTAGCGCGTTCCCTGTCACGGATTTGGGAGCTGAAACAGAAAAGCAAAGCTGTTGAGGACTCTCTTGATCAAGAACATGCTGTGATTTCTTTATCCCAAACTGTGAGAACTTAAGCTCAGACTAAGTGCTCGCACCTCCTACAAACACGGATTGTTTCGTACTCCTGTTTGCTCACTAAAGTATCAGACTCCAAATGCACGAGTTTGTGATTTGTCTGGAACTGTTTATTTCAGTGATGACTGGTCCATGCGTGCATCGTGTAGCGTAAGTTATCCCGGAATGAGAGAGCTTTGCTGCTTTATTTCAAGTACGTGCAAAGATAAAAAGGTTACAAATATAATTTTCAAGATATACAGCGGATTCAACGGCCTGTCTATCATTAGTCTTGAGGTTGGTAGAATCATAGATAGAATTATACAATCCTTTAGGTTGGAAAAGACCTTTAAGATCATCGTGTCCAACCGTTAACCTAGCTCTGCCGAGTCCAACCGCTAAACCGTGTCCCTAAACGCCATGTGTCTGCATCTTGTAAACGCTTCCAGGGATGATGGCTCCACCGGTTCCCTGGGCAGTTCCAATGCTTGACAACCCTTTCTGTGAAGACGTTTTTCCTCATATCCAATCTAAACCTCCCTGGCGCAACTTGAGGCCGTTTCCTCCTGTCCTATCGCTTGTTACTTGGGAGAAGAGACCGACCCCCACCTTGCATGGTACTTGCAGGGTGTGAAAGCCCTCAGCGCTTTTTTGGCATTCTTAGAAAACCAAGAGATCCGTGTACCACCCTCCCATACCTGGGTGATTAGAAGAACGTTAACATCATTGGAGTTTGTTTGTTTGTTTGGGCTTCTTTTTCTCTGTCATTGGAGTTTGTTTGTTTGTTTGTTTGGGCTTCTTTTTCTCTTCTATTTGGGAGAAAGAAAGAAGTGGCTCTTCAGTCTTAACTATTTAGAGGATGTTTCCAAAGAATGGAACTGAACTTTTGGTCTTTCTTCTAGTACAAAATAACAATCAAAATAACAATCCTGGTTCCTTAAAACTCATTATTTTAGAATCGCCTGTTAGCACAGACTCGTTAACCCTGCAAAACTCTTTAGACTTGAGAAGGCCAGATTTCCTGAGGTGTTCGTTCCCCTGCTGTTGAGTACAAGTTTGTGCTCGAGAAATCCAACCATGTCATTCAGCTGCCCGATCGGCACCGAGCGCCTTTGGAAATCTCGGCCCGTTTGTGGTGCCGTGGTCATTTAGGATAGATAACAAGGAAAACCCAACCCCCTCTGAGGAGTTCTGATTTCTTATTTTCAACTGTGTTCTCTGCTTAACTGCTAGGAAAGGAAGGTCGTCTTTGGTCCAATGCTGTCTGTTTGCACCCGGCAGAAGACGAGACCGCTTTGTGGTGCGGGGGAGAGATAAAACAAGTAGTTGGCTTCAGCAAATCAGCCTTTGGCGCGAATGGCATCGCTGTCGAGATGTGCTGTTTTGGAAAGGCCGTTGCTCAAAAGTGTGAAAGTAGGCTGTGCCTCAGTAATTTCTGTAGTGTATCTAGAACAAAAAAGCAGTTTTGTCTGTCTCTGAATTTCTCCGTGAATTACGGATAAGCAGGCGGATGAGATCTTTGGCAATAACGTCTTTACAGTTACGCGTCTCTTTTTTTCCCCCCGGTTTCCTTTTTTCCCTGGCTTCGTCTCCCAAAACTGAGGGAACTTACGGTACTTTTGGTATAAAGTCTAATGTAATAAAAAAACGTTCTGGGGTGCCCCAGAAAACGTGGGATTATGGAAAGGGAAGAGACAAGACGGTAACTTTGTGGAAACCTGGAGCCTTATTTTCATGCCTCATTGAAAGACTTTTTTGCTTTGAACGTGAAGCAAAAAGTGAAAACCTAGCCACGTTCATTACAAAACGGTCCTGGCTATCCGTGTTTAGTTTCATTTCATTCAGTAATCAAAACTACACAACAAAGAGGTAACGCTGGTTTGTTCGTTAAACCGTGCTCACGGGTAATGCTTTAATGAACCTTGCGTACTCCAGAAATAATTCTGCAATCGACCTGTTTAGACAGTGAAAACTACAAAATGCCTGAATAAATGGGAAGTGGCAAAGGCAAAGCGTGATGGCGTTTACTAAAGCAGATTACTTAAAGCGGTCTAAGCGCCTCTCCTTATTTGTGTGTCATCATTTAAAAAAAGGATATTGTGAAGACCGGGATGATGCAGCAAAGCCAGCTTGCGATTTACGTCTTTTTTGTTGTTGTTGTTCAAATATTATATGTTTTGTTCTTTATCGTTCTGTCTGTAATGGATTTAAAGTGAAACAGAACGGCTTTGTTGTTGGGAAGGTACCTGCCATTAGCATTTGATACAGACATTTATTGGAGCGGTTGCAGTAACTGACTGTTTCCTTTGTTAAATCTGTAACTGAATACACGAATTTGTAATTGGATACACAAAACGTGACTGAGATGGATAGAATTAAACTGGATTTTTGTTGTGTTTTGCTGGGTGGTTTTTTTTTTTTCCTTAAAGTTTACAGAGCAAATCCAAGCTAAAAATACTCCTGAGTTGGGTCCTGGCTTTGAGAGCGTGGCTTGGTTTGGTCACGGTCTAGGAAGGAAACTCAGCTGATCTGTTTTATGGGGCTAAAAGTCAGGCGGGTTTTCGAAGGGGAGGTCTGAAGACTTGGTTGAAAATCTGTGACACAGAGAGAGAGAGGGCTGAATGAAAGGATTTGGAGTCCCCTTTGAGGGGTAGTTAAAGCAAGCAAGATTTAAATGTCTATTTTAAACGGCAAGAGAATATCCTCGGGAAAGGAGAGGAGGTTTGTTTTAAACTTTTTAAACAGTTTTCCAAGACTGAGGATTTTGTCGGAGTCTGTTACATGTAAGTTTGTTCGCTCTGTAAATGCCAGGCACAAAAATTAACTGTTTCTGCTGATATGAAATATAGTATTTTAGTCATTGTGATCACAATTAGTCAAAAGAGATGAAGATTTGGGGCCGCTGGAGAGGCTGGTCACATTTACGTTGCGTAGCCGGGACCCTTTGCCAGCACAGCTCTCGGCCAAGGCGGTCGCTCGGCTCCCGAGAGGAGGGGAGCATCTAGGGCACGGCACGGCTCCCCAGGCCCGATTCCCTGCCGCTCGGC